GAAGCGATCTCTTTGTGAGGAAATAATGTTCACTTTCTAGCTTAAAGGAAACAGTAACAATACAAAGTTTGAAAACAAATAATGAAAACACTCACATGTCTTTGAAGTTGATAGTCAAAGTTTAGCCCGTGAAACCCCAGCCAAGGGCACAACTCTTACATTCAAATGTGCTTGGAAAACTTCAGGCTAAAACACAGTGTGTTGTGTACACTGTTCTTGTATTTGCTTGAGTTAATTTCCAAATTAATGTGCCCTCACTTAGCTGAGCTCTGAGGTAATGAGCAGAAGAGCGTTAAAGTTTGAAGGAGACAGCTGGTCAGTCAAATCACGTAAGATTTCTGGGGATGGTAGTTCCTGATAAGTGGATGAGTCAAGGCCCAGGGCCTGCGCCAGGCCCTGGCTGGGCAGCAGAAGAGAGGATGCCACCCATCCACAACCTTCCAAACCGACTGGTCCTTATAGCATGTTATCTCACTCTTGGTCATGTAAAATCCATAGGCTTTACTGCTGAAAAGTATCCCTCCATAAGCAGGACTCCTGGCTTGCATGGTGTTTATTTACTTTTCATGTCCATGACAAAGATGGATATAAAACAGCTTTTAAAAACTACATTACATAGGAATTCACAAATATTTATAGAGATTAGTCACATATAGGGGCTCCTCCTAAAACACAAGCATAAGAAGCATCAAATAAAAATCCCATGTAGGCTAAGATTGCAAGTAATTAATAAGTATAATTTAAGTTAAACATGGAAAATATATTTCCTTTTTTAAAAATTTTATTTTAAAGAGACTAAAACCAAACAATAAAACAGAATATAGTCAATCAAATCAAAACAATGAAAGCAATATAGGATTCATTGTTTGATAATTTTCTATTACCAAAACAAGATAATAGAAAATCAACAATGGCTACCATAACAGTATGGGCAGATAGCTGCACATACCAGCAGACATAGTAAAATCAAACAAACCAAAACAATAAAACCAAACCAAACCAAACAATGAAAACAGTACAGGACTTCAAAACAAATGCCTCTTGTTACCTTCAAAATAGCTGTCCAGACCATCAGACACAGGCATGTAAAATTATCCAAATAATACAAGGACAAAGTTGTTTCTTTACTTCAGTTGTTATCTTTTCAGAAATCTCAGGTTTGTGATCTCTAATTTGTACTATGTCTGTGTCTCCTGAACTTATTCTCTGTGGGCTGGAGGTCTAAGATTGTATTTTGCTCCTTCGTCCTGACATTTTCCTGTGTTCCTCTGAATCAGCCCATTGCTGCATCCTGAATGCTTCCTGCATTGGCACTGTCCCCTAGTGCAGTGGACTGGACTGGGCACCTGGGTGCTTCCAATGGGGTGGTGGAGAGGCATGGGGCGGTGGTTCACTGATGCTTCCCTGGTGGCGGCAGGGTCTTGGGGTCTGTGTTGGGCTTATATTTCCTTTTTTTAAAAATAAAAATATAAATTATATTCCTTTTGGAAGCCTTCAGAAACAGTGTAATTATTTTTTAAAAGTATAGAAATTCCTTTAAAATTTACTTTCTAAATTTCTTCTAAAATAGTTTGATAGGAATTTTTCTAAAATTTTTAAAGAAACCATTGCTCCATATCATTGCTGTTTCCAGGTACTGTGGGAACGCCAGGGAATTGGGTCTGTGTCCTTGGAAGACCAGAAGCCAAATTTCAATAAAATTGAATAAAATAGAATCTTTTGCTTTCCAAAAACCATAATTTTTTTTAAAATTAGTCATTTAACATTAAATGGTTTCACCTATGTTACTTTTTGTCCTTCAAATCCTTGGGTTGATCTCCAGAGATTTATGAACAGAACTTCAATATTCCAAGTATCCTATGGCTAGCTCCAAAAACAAACTCTAAAGAAACCGGATTCATGTGTGGGGCTGATACTTGCTTTTGCATAGTTACTTACAGAGCATTTAAGGATAAGTAAAAACAAATGTTTTCATCCTTAACCACACTAATTCCTTAATATGTGTGTAACATCATATTAATATTGTTCTCAAAAAGTTAAATAGACATAGTTCTCTGTCCTCCAAGTAAATACTGTCTAGTATAAAGAGTAAGAATTGTAATTATAGTAATGATATTTGTATTAATGATTTCATTAATATCTCAGTAATAATTGTATAACAGCAATACTTGATAATAAAAATCATAGTATTGCATCACTTATGAAGTCCTTTTTCTGTCTCAGAGACTATGCAAGTTGTTGTCATATACGAGTTAAGTATTATTATCAGTCTTACGAAGTAGGCAGAATTCTGTGCATTTTACAGGCATAGAAACTGAGCTTTAGAGAGGATAGCCAGCTTGTTCAAGGCTTCACAGTACAGTAATTGTTACTGGAGTGAAGCCTGAGATGTAAGGACTCCAAGCAAGGGCACAATAATTTACAGGACACCTGTGACATGCATCCTTAAAGTGCATGGACATTCATTTAGTGGTCTTTCAGTGAAGGAATCAAGATGCAGCCAGTTCTGTTGAAAACTGTCTGCTACAATGTATCATTTGTTGGGAAACAGAAGCCTTAGTGAAAGGTGGTATTTTAGGAAATGCTTAAAGCATGTAGTTGACTTTCTTGCCACCAGAAAGTGTTTGGACAAGTTAGAAAGGGAACTAGGACTTCCCTGGACGATGGCCCTGTGACATTTTTCCACTTGCATTTCTGCCTCTTGCCATGAACTTTTGGCATCGCTCTGCTCTTGGAGCCGATGAGTCAACAGCATTGTTTTAGCATTCCCTGTGTGCAGAAAAGTGAGCTGTGACTCCACACTGTAGGCCAAACTGATGTGGGCTTTACTGCCAGCCAGGGCAGCAGGAGTGGGGAAGTAGAGAACAGAATATATAATATAAAATTATGTATAATTGCTATACATGTAATTCAAAGAATGTTTATCTATCTATCTGTTTGTCTAGGTTAGGTCTCAAATTTTTTTTAATTGGGAAATTTTACTTGCACCCTTTTGTACATTTGGACCAGTTCCTACATGGTGTCTTCCTAGAAATTAATCTTTAAATATCATAAATAAAGGAATCATCGAATAATGTACCTGGAAGGGATGCCAGGGATCGACAGTGTTTTATGCAGTATAAAGGGTCTGATATGTTACAGGTGTTCTGGAAAAGAACCTCATGGTCAAATGAAATTTGGAAATGCTGGGCTAATGTTACATAGGTTTCTTTCCCAAACAGCTTCGAATGCTTATTTTACCCCAGATTCTCACGTGGGAAATGCTGGTTCTGATGTGTCAGTTTCTCTGTGAAGACAGCAGCTGATGTGGTCCTGAGGTCTTGAGAGTAGGGAAGTCCCCAGGGAAAGGAAGTCTATATCAGTCTTTCCTGTCCCATGTCACCAATTCTCAGAGTAGTGCCTTTCTCTAGAGGCACAGCGAGGGCTGAAAAGCATCTCTAGCCTTCAGGGCTACCTTTCACTGTCACCCATGCTGCTGAGGAGCTCTGAGCTCGGCAGAAAGGACCAGCTCCTGAGAATCAAGGGAACACATTTACCCCTGACCCAGGTCACCGAGGGTGTAAGGGAGGGGTTGTTGTCACCAGCCGAGGTCACAAAGCTGGTCTGATTCTCTTTCCCTAACTAAGCAAACTGGACGCGTTAAGTTTAGATTGGGAAATACTAGGTTAAAAAAGTTAAGCTGATGTCTTCTCTCTAGAACATCTCAGATGTGCATCATGAGGCTTCAAGAATGGGGTAGAGTGCACCTGGCCACAGCCCTTCTGTTTTGTGTAGCATTTGGGAGGCACCAGTGTCTGAAGGAGATGCAGAGTTAATCCAACGAGCAACTATGGGCCAAGCATTATTGGGGGGCCCTTTCAGCTTCTTGTCTCCATCATTTTGACAAATTCATTGGATTTTGCCAAATTCAGAAATAGATTTGAAGAGATTTTTTAGCTGGAAAATCTTTTATTTTTTGCACATTTGAGGGCAATTTAATTCATATATTCTGAGTGTCCATATCAAAATTTACTGCTAAATTTAACCATTTACCGTGACCAAAGGCCCATTAGCTGCTATGATGGTCTACAGAGATATAAATTGTTATTCTTGCTACAGAGAATTAATACAAATGACAGATATAAATTTGATGACCATAAAATGCACAACTAACATTAATTGAATGTCTGTTTGGTATGCATTGTACTATTTGACTCTTCTCAACAATTTATGGGAAGGGATTATAATAATTTGTGTTCCACGTTGAGGACACTGAGATTAGGAAAGGTCATGGAATTATTTCAAGGTCACACAAGGCAGAAGAGAAAAAACCATAAATGAACATGCATAGAAATGAGTATCAATTGTGAAACATCCCTTATGAGTGAGGCAAAGTGCTATGTGAGTTCAGAGAAACAGTTTTGAAAAGATTTGCAGGAGAATTTCAAGTGCGTAGTGGGTAATTACTATTTGGTCACCCTATCTCATCTTCTTTAAGGAAACTTTGAGGTCTGGCTATGTGGTTGGGCAAAATTGACTAGTCTTAGGGCATTTCAGAATTGGTGCCAAGGGGAGAGGATTTCCTGTTGGATGGAGAGACAGTGAAATCTAGTTTGAGATGTCCATGCCTTGATGGTTGGCTTGTTCCCAGGACTCTGGCAGGACCTGGGCTATGACAGTAAGAAAAATGGTGATTTTGAGAGACAGGGAAGTGTGGTTAGTCAAGAGATGGAATCCTGGGGGGCTTATGGTAATCTCAGAGGCATGGGAATTATGTCTTTGATTTACTGGGACAGAAGACTTACAGTATCCATTCTTCTTCTGGGAATGACACTGCCTTCTTGAAAAATGCAATGTCATTAGAAAGTGATCTTAAAGGTCTGCAGCATAGGGTTGCACTCAATCAACGTTCAGTCTATTTGGTGATAGGCCAGCATGCTCCGGAGCACACCAGTGTAAGTTAGCAACTTTACAAGGTAGAATGTAAGAAAAAGTAAAGGAAAACAAATAGCTCCCAAAAATATTTTTCTAAAAATTATAATTGATAATTATATATACATTTATGATGAACAATGTGATGTGATGATATATACCTACAATGTAGAATGGTTAAGTCAAGCTAATTAACATAGCTGTTACCTCAAATAGATACCCTTTTTGTGGTGAGAATACTTGAAATCATTGACTTAGCAATTTTGAAATATTATAGTCACTGTGTTGTGCAATAGATCTCAAAAATCATATTCCTCCTAGCAAACTTTGTATCCTTTTACTCCACCCCAAAGAAAAGTGCAGGCAGATTGCAATCAGTACCTTCAGTGGTTTCCCTATCACACTTGCGTTACATGCATAAAAGGAGGAGAGGCAACATAAAAATTTGGACACACTGCAAATGCTATCTTGACTACTTTCTTGGTGTTGCAAATGTCTTTTAATCTGTGAATTGTGAATGGTAGGAACATCATTCCTTCTTCTTTTGGTTGTTTTCACTGTCTAAAGAAAAAACATATTGCAAAATCATGCTAGCAAAGAATGAGTTATTATTCACAGTTATTTTACTATGACCAAACATTTTAGGATGCTGCTGGATGTCAAGCATACTTTCTGGGAGTGACAGCCTTTGGGAAAGCAGAGTGGTGGCTTTCAGGGCAGTAGCTTCAGTGGGGACAAACATGTCCAACTGGTGATAGATGACAAGCAAAAATAAGCTTCTTCCCTCTTTGGGCTTCATTTTTAACCCTTTCTCTTTTCACTTACATTTTCTATGGAGATGATCATGGCTTTGGATTTGTTGGTGAGAAGATGAAAATGGCTGGGCAGAAGAACCTGATGTAATACCTGGGACCCGGTGCTTGTTTCATGTGGCTTTGTTCATTCATTCTTGGTAGGGCATTAAAAAGAGCTTCAGCCTCTTCCCAATGAAAATGAGGAATCCAGAGCCCAGTTCAACAGTATTTAGACAGATACAGTGTGAGGCGAGCCTGTATCTGAGCAGGAGAGGAGCTGGGCAGAGAATGTGAGAAGATCAAGAGGAAAAAGAAAACGCGTGCCTGCGTTGCTGCGGTTGAAATCCCACAACAAACAAGAAAAACAAGTTTCCATACCGCAAAGTGCTTGCTCTATCTTCTCAAGAGAGCCGGGGGTAAGTGGACAGTGGGTCCAGGGATGAGACAAGGCCTGACAGTGTGTGATTCCCAGCAACAAATGGTCGTGGTGGGTGTGTACACACACACACCCACACCCAGCGCCCAGCCTCCACTTATACCGCTGGCAGAAGATGACAATTCTCAGCTTGCCTTTCCAGGGTTATTTTTGGCTAGGACTGGGAGCTGATGGCCACAGGCTTCGGTCCGCTCCCAAGCCCCTTCCCGGAGGGACACTTGCGAGCGAGCTCTCCTGACTGGCAGGGCGACCCGCAGGGCTGGGGCGCTGCCGGTGGGCGAGCGCGGGCGCAGGGGTGGGGAGAGGTCTGCAGACCGGCTCGCGGCTCGCGCTGCTCCCCGGGGCTGCTTCCAGGCCGGGCGCAGGAGGAGGCGTCACGGGGGCGGGGCAGCTGGCACGGGACCCGGGCTTTTGGGATACTCCAAAAGTGAGACCAGCTGGGGACCGACCCGGAGGACTGTTTGGCGGTCCGGCTGCTGCGGAGCAATTGGGCGGGAGAGAACTTTATTAGAAGGAAGCGGCCCACTTGCGGGCTGCGCCCAGAGGCCGAGCGCTCGAGCACGGCGGGGCGCAGGGCGCGGGTCGGGGCGCCGCCGGCAGGGGAGGGGTCGGGGCGCGAGGCGGAGCCCGGGCGCGTCGCCAGGCCGGTGGGGCCCGGCGGGCGGCAGATTCCCGGATTCCCCGCGGCTGCCCAGCGGCGGCAGCACCGGCCGGGAGGCGCCATGGAGGGGAGCCCCATCCCCGTGCTGACGGTGCCCACGGCGCCCTACGAGGACCAGCGGCCGACCGGGGGCGGGGGGCTGCGGCGGCCCACCGCGCTCTTCGAGGGCCAGCGCAACTACCTGCCCAACTTCATCCAGAGCGTGCTGTCGTCCATCGACCTGCGGGACCGCCAGGGCTGCACCATGGTGGTGGGCAGCGACGGCAGGTACTTCAGCAGGACGGCCACGGAGATCGTGGTGCAGATGGCCGCGGCCAACGGGGTGAGTGAGTGACTGCGCCCCGCGCCGCCGCCCAGCCCTCTCCTCGCCCGCCGCCCCACCCCGCCGCTCCCCGGCGCCCCTCTCCAGCCTCCCGGTGCCCCGACACCCCAGAAACCTCCAGGCTCGCCCTGTCTCTGCCTGCGCCCCTCACCTGCTCAATGTTTTCTTTGCAAAGTTCTCTTTGTCATTCTACCGCAGCTTTAAACTTTACATATCGTCCTGGCCTTGTTCACTACCCCAGCCTAGCCACCAGACTTCTTCAGACTCCTGCCACGGATTTCCTCGTGTCCATTTTGACTCATCCTCTAGCCCCCGGAATCTTTTTCTCTTTCTTTGTTTTTGGAGACAGGGTCTTACTATGCAGTTCAGGTTGGCCTTGAGCTCACTTTGTAGCCCAGGCTGGTCTCGAACTCGCAGCGATTCTCTTGCCTCAGCCTCCCAAGAGCTGGGACTACAGGCGTGACCACATTGGGCATGCCCCCTGCATCTTGACTCTGCCAGAGTTAATGTAGTATTACACACACACACACACACACACACACACACACACAGCAGTCCACGTGACATTTGTCAAGGGTGGACCCCAGGAGTTTTTTGGATCACTGGTTCTTTAACCGAGTGGTTATTTAATGATTACTTTGATCGGGGTGGGATGCATTAGTCTGATGTCATACAGCCTGAGTTCTCAGTTCACAGGAAACATAGTTTTAAATAGCCTGAAATTAGATTAGTAGTGACTTTCTTCATGCAGTTGTTAACTTCTCTCCAAGATGCTTTTGGCGTTTGGCCATTCCTATCTTTTCAGTTTCTAGCTTCCTCTTCTCTCTTTTCTTTCACTGCCTTTGCAATCTGGATTCTCAGGCCTAGAGTGTTCCTCCTCCTGCCCTTGCTTTTCCATCCTACAGCTACAAGCACCTTTGGTTTCTCCCTAGTTCCTCTTCTCCAATCCAGCAGAGGACCGCTTAAAGATAACTGCTTAATTCCAGGGGCCTCTGAATTTATCTGTGGGACTCACTTCAAAAAAAAGGAGTGGCAGCCTTGTCAATGCAACCAGAGCCAACCCATAAAACTCCTCCTTGAGGGAAATCTCCTGTAGAAGTATAAATTAGTGTGAACATCTTTAAACGTGAAACTAAACAGTTACCTGTCATTTGGATTCCTTCCCTCCTTTCTAATCTCTTTTTTATTTTCTCATTCCTCCTCCTCTTTCATCTTTAGAGTTGTCCATACTTTATGTTTGGCAACTAGACTTTTTCCTTCTCGGTGTTCAGGAATGAGAAAACATATATTTTAAAATAACCAAAAGCAATAGGGTGAAACGAAACCAGTGATGTGGTGATGAGTGGTATAATCGTGATTTTCAGCTCAAGCAGGCAAGGACGCAGCGGATGAGGGACTTGTGTCTGCCTCTGGCTCCTCACCTGGGATTGATGAAAGTTGGCTGGAATCAGGGCGTTAGAGAGAGGTTGCCAAATGGTCTTTTGCTCTTGTCTGACCAAGATATTCCTGTAGAATGATGGGGAATAATCAGCCTTGGAAAGGTTGTGACAGTGTGCATACACCCTTTTTGGGTTAGCTTTTCCAGCCAGTAAGAGAAAAATAAGCCTTTCCAATATTTATTGTAGGTCGGGGTGTTTTTTAAAGTTACAGTTATTGTTTTGCAAAGATAAATTATTACTGTGCTTTATTATTTCCTGGCTCACTTTACCGTAGGACTCCTTAGTGAATCTTCTCTGATGTAACACATTTCCTAACTTTAAAGGCAGAGTTGGAGCACATGCTTAGATTCTGTTTTACCATAGTAGTTGTTATGAAGGACAGAAAGAATAATTAAATCTCAGAAAGAAGCACTTACTTTTAAATCATGTGAAAGTGCTACTCCTAAGAAGGGTGAGTGTGAGTGAAGGGAGAGATGGACACATTTCAGAATTTCAAGCTGACAATGTTAACCAGTTTTTTCCTCATTTTGTTCTTCCTCTTGGGGGGCTGTATCAAAGTGAACAGTCAGAAAGTTGGCTTCAGGAGAAATATGATCCAGAAGGACTGAAAAATTACAAGCAAAATTGGTCTTGCATGATTAAAAATTGATGGGAATGTTCTTGTCTCCTAACTTGGCTTGCCGAGTGAGACTTGGGGATAATAAATCTTTATCTCTTTCACTTTCCTTCTTTTACTATAATTATTAGCACATATAAATCAAAGAATACAGTGAGTTTCTTAAGAATAACCTAATTCCAAATGCTTTGGCCTTTTTAATTTCATACTGAATATTATTCATTACCAGGCTAGAAAAATATGGAAAACTAGTGTTTATTCTCTTTGAATTGGTAATTCTGTCTGAATTCTGTCTGTTCAGTATTTTATCTGAAAAATCTTGATTTGGGATAAAAAGGTTATTTTACAAAGACATTTTCTATGAAAAACTATACTTGGTATTTCATAATTTTAATTGCTGGAGTATGAAATTTTTAAATGATATTATTTGTGTTAATAGCTCAGAGTTTGAAATACACATTTCAAATACAGTTCTGTATACATTGGGATTTTATCACCTTATTATATTACTTGTGATTATTGTTTATTGTAACATTTTCAAAACTTCAGACAAGTCTAGAGATAAGATTAATGACATCAATAGATCTGTAACTTAGATTGTAAACATTACAATATTTATGTCATTCTTTTTGGCTTAAATATTTTAGAGAACATTAAAGAAAATGACAGTTATTTCTAAATTCTTCAGTATGGATCCCTAAATTCATTCTCTAAAGAATATTTTTCCACATAGCAATATGAAAAATGGTTTTATCATTTCATTTATTACCCAGTCCACATTCAGATACTGGATTATTTGGAAACAGGTTTTATAGACTTTTTGTCCAAAGCAGTTTCAACTAATCAAGGAACACACACTACATTTGGTTATTTATCGTAACTATTTTTAATCTAGAAAGTACCTCTTTATTTATTTGTTTATTGAAATTGATTTGTTGAAGAACTAGATTGGCCATCTTGTAGAGTGTCCCTCCTCTTGAACTTTCAGATTGCTTTTTTATGGTGTCATGTAACTTTGTACTCTATCTCGTTTTTATTGTTGTTGCTTTTGGTTAGCTGAAAATTAGTTCTAAAGTCTTGCCTTAATTTGGTTATAGGTAACTATAACCAAATATGAAGAACTGAATGGCTTCTAAATACCACAGTTTTACTTCATACAGTTCTAGAGGCTGGGAAGTCCAAGGTTGAGGTGCCAGCATTTTTGACGTTTGATGAGAGCCTGCCTATTGGCTCATGGAATGGTGCCTTTCTTGCTGTGTTCTCAAGTACTAGAAGGCACTAGCGGCTCTCTGGAGTCTCTTTTATTAGTCCTTGTCCTAGTCATGAGGATTCTGCCCTCAGAACCATGTCATCCTTTAAAAGCCTTACCTCCTAGTAAGCTTGGGGTTTAGGATCTCAACATGTGAGTGGGGGAGGGGGATAGCATTCAGTCCCATTGTGAATCTTAGAACATTTTTCTTAAAAACAATATTTTATGGTGCTGTTTATTGGGGTCGCATCTCATCAGGAAACACAACCTCTGGATGCTGGGATTGTTGCAGGTTATGGTAGTTCCTGCCTGTGTCCTTCATTACTTCCCCAAGTCCAGCCAGCCGGCTAGGTGAACTTTGTACCATGTGCATATTCGGTTACTTATCAACCGTTACTCAGTTGTCTTAGCATTCATTAAGGATTATTTCTTGGGTTATTAGGAATTTCAAAATGGTGCTGTTTCCTAATTTCCTAATTCCATTAGCTGGCGTTTTCTTATAAACTAGATGTTTTACTCTTAACAGGACTGTTTGGTTATCCTACATAATGAATTCTTTCTGGAATGTCAGATTCTTTCTCTCTAATTGCCAGTTTTCAGAGGGAGAATGTGGTTTAGGCACTACCCTCACAAATGAATTTTATGACAAACAACTTCTGTTTCACTTTCATTTTTTAAATATCACATCCTGCATTTTTATGTGTCCAGTTTCAGTGTATCACTAGATTAGTCAATGAGAAGATGGTTTTACTTGTTTTTTGTATTTTTTGTGGTGTTATATGAATTTATCTAAAAAATTCTCAGAATTACTTTAATTCACCTCAAAGTTATATATATATATTATAGTATACTTATCTGTATGTGGATGCATATATCAATAATATGTATATTACTGAAGTGGATTTGTGGAAGAAGTATGGTTAGTTATCCTGTAGAATGTCCCCTCCTCTGGAATAATATGTCGTATAGAATGAAATAAAAAATAAGTAGTAAATTATATTATGTAAATGAACTATGAACAAGCTTAGTTTGTAACCAATTTTTAAAGATATTTATTTATTTATGTTTTACAGCACTAGGGGTTGAACTCATTGTCTTCATAGAGACCTAACAACCTCAACTTTTAAAAAAAAGGTTGTTTTTTTAAAACTTGGAATGAAGGTCTTGCCAAATTTCCCAGGCTAGGTTTGCCCTTGAGATCTGCCTCAGCCTTTCAGAGGGCTGAGATTACAGGCCTGTGCCATTACACCCAGGTCCAGTATTTTTTTCCCTAGTCAGATTCTATTGGTACATTTTAGGTGTATATATTGATCACATTCATTCTAGAGAATTTATACCTATATATGATGTAACTTGATCCTAGTTGTTCTTTGATCCTGTTTTTGTTTCCATCTGCTTGAGACCCTCATCAGTAATTTAGATCTAAGGGAGACTAAAAGTTAAATGCAACTTAATGGCTACAAAAATGTCCTTACCCTTCCTGGTTGAGTCTACCTCCAACTAAGAGCAATCTCTTGATTTCTCTTGTTTAAATCTTCTTGCTTAGCTAACTGCCTTGAATTTTGGGAAGATGGTGCCATTGTGTCTCCCTCCAATGTTTCTGACTTTTCCTAGAGTCTTCTTTGTCTGGACATGACATTCTATAACATTATTGTCCAATGGTGACTTTCTCCGATGGTGGAAATCTATAGTCTCCTCTGTGCTCTGCTCTAAGCACAGGTGACTGCTGAACGTTTGAAATACAGCTCGTGTGACTGAAGAACTGGATCTTACATTTTGTTTTACTTAAAAAAGTAGAACTTCAAATAACTGTGAGAGTTTAGTCGCTCCTCTACTGGACAGCACAGGTCTATAATTTAGCATTTAAAATTTGCTTCTGTTGTTTCAAAACATGGAATTGAAATGTTATACTCTAAAACAACCACAGGCAAAACAGAGGTAGATGACCAGATACTGTACATTTACCAGATTTGTTAATGCTGTATCCCTAGCGGTAATGAAGTGTGGCAGGAAAGCCCTGTACCCCCATCTGGAAGGCTGCGTCTCCTTTTTTTCCCTAGCTTTACCACATGTTGCAGGGCTGATAGTTTAATTTCTTGAAACCACTTATGTCCTCACTTGTAAGTTGTATGTGGCAGTATCACTAAATTATCCTAAGAATCAAATGAAGCACTGCCTATGAA